AGTCTGGTCAGTAACTTGTCTGTACCGACGAGAAATGATGCAGAAATGACCGTGTAAAGCGGGCTTAACGCCCAAGCCAAGCGTAGGATTTTTCCCACATTGAAGAAACTCCTTCCCATCTGGCTGGAGTCGAAGCTTTGAGATTTTGCAACATATTATTTTCAATTTGAGGGTACTTTACATAATACCCCCGGACATTTTCAAAATTTTCTCAAAAACGGCTGCAAGTTTTTTCTTCAAATTTCGTGTAAGAATAGACACGTCCGATTTTCACGGAATTTTTAAAAGAATACAAATTTTTTTTTTCAGAAAAGCTGTTCTTTTTTTTAGTTTTGATAGGGATAGTGCGAAAAGTACTCTATAAGATGACAAACACCACATTGCTCTAATCCTTTGTTTTTAAAAAAATTACAAAAATGCAATTTTTTTACCTGCCTCTCATGTCGATAGTACTTATATTAGCGGCAATTTCTTCACAATTGTATTTATGAGTACATGTGCTTAAATAATGTCATATAAACTTTCTCAAAAACTCTAGTTTTTCTGTGGAAACTAGCTCAAAATTCCGCATTTTCAGAAACGCTCAAACGTCATTTTCTCCAAAACTGCCTCAAATTTTTCTTCAAACTTTTCGCATAGAAAGTGCTTATTGCACTCTTTAATATGACGTAAAGTTCATTTCGGGGTATACTTTTGTTTTTTCCAAAATTACACATATAATTTATTTGAAAGATATCTCACACCGTTAATATGCACATTTCCGCCCTTTTGTAAGCACTATTTAATTTGGAAGTTAAAGTACTTCAAAAAGAAGTTTTTCGAAAACTCAAATATTTTCAGTGAAAAAGTTTCAAATTTACAGTAGCGCTTAAACGCCATTTTCTTAAAAACCGCTTCAAAATTGCCAAACAAAATTGCAATTTAGGGCGAGGGGTTACTGTTCTTTAATATTTATAAAATAATATTTCCGTTCTTTGATTATGAAACCGAAAAATAAAGAAAAATTTTAAAGAATGTACTTTGGGCGACAGGAAATGGCTAGTCCGTATAGCTAGCCAAGACCAAAGGAAATAGAAAACCAATAGGGAAAATCTGTGCCATTCTCTAGCACTACTAATTTTCTTTAATGTCGCAAAATATTAATTTTGTCAATTACAACGCGAGTTACAAACTATTTTGACACGAACTACAAACTTTGGCCATCCAAGCATTTTTCCGAAAATTTGAAAACGAATCACGCTTCAAAAAAAAATTGGAAAAGGAAATTCGAGTTTCATATTTTCTTATACTCTCAAGAGAAAAGAACGTTTAAAAATCTGGGACATCAACGTCATATTTTTCTTAAATTTGTGCGATTTGTCGTGGAATGTCTCTTGAGTGAAACATTTGACGTCATAGATGAAAACGCAGGTCGCAGGCAGATGCCTTCCGAACAGTGCTGCCCTATGTTGCAAGATTCGGGGTTTGATATGTCGCTTTGGAGAGATATTGGAAGATTGACAAAATGGAAAGAGGGCCCTCAATCAAATAATTCTCAATTGTTTAATTCTTATTTCAAACATTTTTCTTGTAATTATTCTATAGTAAAAATTAAGCGAAGCTCGATTTCATTGTGGGGGCTTACTATTTATCATCTTACGGCATGTGATAATAAAGATATGTTAGATGGAATGCAACCTCAATATTGCATTAAACTAGCATGCTTAATTATAGTGATCTCATTTTGTCTGGGAATTCTTAAATATATATAATGTATGATATATTTTCAAATGCCAAATATGGAATACTTCAAATTGTATTTAAAACATCGCAAAAATATTGGTGTAATAAATGCTTAATTGTTTTAAACGTTTATAGGCAACGTTATGTTCTTTCCACAGGGCGTTTTAAACAACGAGCATCCGAACTGGTTCTCTTAAATGCTGTGACAACTGACTCTGGTTTGTATCAGTGTGTTGTACATAGCAAGGCTGGAGAAATTTGGGCAGCAGGACGATTGCAAGTTAATGCGTCCCGTTTAATGCCTGATCCACCTCACAGTCTAAGTTGCATCACACTATCCTCATCGCAAATACAGTTGACTTGGGAGCCTCCACAGCGGTTGACAGGCGACAAGATTGTGGCCTACAGTATACATATTGCTCCAACTGGTAAGTCTTACTGCCTATTTCACTAGCACCAATCAGTAGCTAAGATGGACGTCAAACTTCTGATTTACGTTGCACCTTGTTAAACGCAATATTTACATTTCACCAAAGTCGTTTCCCGTGACATGCGTCAAAATTTGGCCAAACTGTATCCTGCCATCAACGCCTTTGTCAATTTAAATCTTTGTGATGGTGAAGTTAAGCAAACGCGTGCATTGCGTTTCATTGGCGTAGTTATTTTACCTTTTCACTGTTCAAGTAGCGTGTGTTTGATTTTGAATCGAGATATTGTTTTTGTGCTAAACTTATCTGGTTTGAATAGATAACACCCGTGTAGAAGGGCTTATTACTACAAAAAAATTCTTATGAATAGAGCCATGTTCAGTTCGCAATCGGATACAGAATGATTAAGGCGGTCATGATTATAGAAGAAATAAAACCGCAGCTAGGATTCCCCGCAAATAGAAATTAGCATCTAACGGCCATTAAGCAGTTCATAGCATTTAAGTTTTTATGCTACGAGATTTTCCTTGTGATCGACGATTGCAACGGCTCCGAAATATTATACTCCTGAGTGAAACTGAAAAGTGTTTCTAAGAAGCATTTTTTTCTTCTCACCGGGATTCGAACTTTGGTCCTTTCCAGTCTGCACGCCAAGCTTGTTACCGATACACCATAGTCGTTCAGGGCTCTTCATTTTCCACAGGCTTAAAAATAAAAGTTATTTCTGAATTATGCAAGTTTTGAAAATTCAGACAGTTCAACGAATATGAGTTCTGCGTCAATTTAAAGTCTCATTAGCTCTACGCGTGAAAAAGAAAAAAATTAAAAATTGGAGCGGAGTAAAATAAATAAGTATATATGTATTGTAACTATTGTTGCATCATCTACCGGGATTCGCTGCATGGATTGCGTCATCTGTCGGCGCCTCCCCTTCCCCCCGAAATGGACGGATTCGGGCTATTCGCGAGTCACGTGGAAAGGTGGAGTAAGTGCCGGGGGTGTCGAGACGAGCGTCGGCCAGGTATAAATTCGCCGTTGCCGGCGGCCGCAAGTAGTAGTCGGAAGTAAGCAGCCACAAGTCAGTTAATGTATCTGAAGTGGAAGCTGTGCTGTAAAGTGTGCATTGCGGTGAACAGTGGTGCAGTGGACCCTGGCCTGCGCAGTGAAGTGTGGTCTGCGCAGGGAATTGTCAGCGCAGTGGACCGTGGACAGTGCATCGGACTACGATAGATTTGAAGAAGTGAACAGTGTAAATAAATAATTAGAAGTAATGAACTGTGTAAATAAATAATCAGAAGTGAACTGTGTAAATAAAAAATCAAGTGAAGAACACAAGGACTGTGTAATATATCTGTAAATAAATCAAGTATTTGTAGTGTAGAATTGTTTACAAATAAACATTTTTGTTAAAATTTTAAATATCTGTGGATTTTAATTCACCTCCGAGAAACGTTACAGTTACATACAGTATATATATGAACACACAACTACACTTGAACCGTTGCAAATACGGAAATGCAGTTTTCACTAAAACTACTATATGTACGGGGTACTTCTGGTCATGCATAATATTATTCCATTGCATGTTTTATTGCAGAGATATTGACCCAACTTCGATTTTTTAAATGGATCCCTATAGATTTTTTAGCTTATCATAACAAGCGTGAAGAGACGAGTTCATAAATGTGCATATCGCCGTATGTTACATAACAAAATTTTCGAAAAATGATGCGTTTTAAAGACGCACGCCGACTGCTGGTTTCCATAACGTGAACGAGAAATTCCGGGTGATATGCGGCGAGGCCATTCCCTTCCCTTGCGTCGGCTGAATAAAGTGGGAAAACTGGAGATGTTTCGAAGTGAGGTAAGAAGGGTAGGTAGAATAAAAAGATGGTGAAGAAAAGAAATGCAGTCAGAACTAAACAGGAACTTAATTAGTGTTTCATGAATGCTATTGCTAGCCTCACAGTTTCCAATTGCCCGAAATCATCGCCAGTTGTTATTCATTGGATATGTAGTAAAGGCTTCCCAACAAATATGCAAAGTATCAGTGAAGATCTAAAGTGTGTATTGGTTAGGTCAAAATGAATTACTACTGAAGAAGAAGAAAAGTCACAAAAATTAAATTTAAAAAAAAAAGAATTGTATTAGTAAGTGGATCAAATGATATAAATCGGTATTCATAAAAAGCCATTATGTTAGTCTAGTCAATTGCATTGTATTTCTTCACCTGCTTATAAATTTTGATTACTTGACTTTAACCAAACCCCTGAAATGTGAAATATCTCTCTAGTATTAATTTATCAATAAATCTGAAAACGGAAGAGGGCTTCTGAAATTTTACTTCTACACGGATATTCTAAATTCAGGTTTCGTAATCCTAGAACTACGTTGTAATTTTGAAGGCTACGATGATTGCCATGAGTGTTCATAATTAGTGTAACGGGGTCAATTGGATTTTGAATCCTGTATTCAATGTAAGTGTGTCTTGTCATACTACATCGTGTGAATCTCAACGTACTACGTAGTATGTTAGGATGTCATGTGTAAGTTATGTTAATTTGGCACATTATTTATGTGAAGAAAATATTTCATAATTGTAAAATATTACTGAAATAGTGAATGCCTTGAGTAACAAAATGAATTAGGGAATAAAAAAATTGTATTTCTCGCATTCCTTCTACTCTTGTTCCTTTTTGGGTATAATCCGTATTTACATCCCATACGTAGGCCCTTCTGTATTTGTTTTACATATTTTACAAAAGAATACTAGTACTATTAATTTGTAAATATGTGAGATCTGGATATAAATTGTAATAATTTTTTTATTGTCAAATGTTCTGTAAGTCATGAAAATTTACAAAAGTCTCAAATGAAGTAACACGAACAGCACAAAACGGCTGATGTCAATTTAACTGTAGCAGCAGAAAGTGTATAAGCAGCACACTCTGTTGCCCAATTTAGAACTTCTTCCATTGCGACTTACACGTTCGACCTAACCTTACAAAAACTGTTTCGATTTTACCCGTTGTTGATATCGATAGTGCTTTCGGTTGCTTTAACGTTCTAGGTAGCACTAATTTCCTAATGAATGTTTTTCAAACTCTCGGCGCTTCAACTCGAGTCAGTTCGACCGGGAAATATCCACTTTGGAGCATAAATATACGTATGGTTTAGGCGATTGTGGTGTTTACAAACGGACGGACAGCCAGAAAGGCGGACGGATAATCAAACGGACGTTTTGAGAAGAAGAAAAAAACAACATTTTTTCCGTATCAAGAATCCACAATTTCTGAAATCTGACTACATAACTTGTTAGAGCGAGTATTTTACATTTTAGAAAAAGATGTAACCACTTCTTACTTTCCCGTATGCTTACGTATATACGAAGTGTGTGTGAGTGTGTATATAACCAATTGACGGCAAAACGTTCGATCGTCCGTATGTGAACCCTAGGGCCTAAACCAAAAGTAGGATTTTTTCCAAGCGATTGTTGTTCTAGCTCAAGTTGAAGATTTGAGATTTAAAAAAAACATTCTTTAAAATTTGAGGGACTTTACATGAAGCCCCCCTGAACATTTTAACGATTTTCTCAAAAATGGCTCCAAATTTTTTCTCTAAATTTCTTGTAAAAATGGAGTAAAATACGCTTATAAATATGGCACAAGACCGATTTGCATGGTTTACTCTAAATTTTCGAAGTTTTCAAAAGATTGAATTTTTTCGGCGTTTTCCTACAACTACAAAATTAAATATAGAAAGTTTTCCTTCAAATGAAATTTGTTCTCCATAATGAGTAACTTCATGAAGGTCATGTATATTTTTTGAAAATTTTAGTCGTATTCGTGTAATATTGCGAGCAATATGCAAAATTACAATTACAAGACTTTCTCAAAACTAGCTGCAATTGTTTTCTTTAAACTTTTGATAGAGAATGTTCTAAATGCACTCTAAAAGATGACATAAAAGTCATTATGCTGTATCCTTTTGTTGTTGTTGTTTTTTAATTATAAAAATGTAATTTTTATTCACGTGTTTCCCACGTCGTTTATAATTTACGTTAGCGGCAATTCGTTCACATTTTGAGTATATGTACTTTAAAGAATGTAGGATAAAGTTTCTCTAAAACTTAAATTTTCTGTACAAATGAGCTAAAAATTCCGTTTTTCCAGAAACGCTCAAGCCCGCATTTTCTCAAAAATGACTACTAATTTTTTCTTCAAAAAATTAGAGCCATATTTGAAAAAAATGAAAATGTGCAGGGAGATTTAGATTCTATGTAAAGTACCGCCAAATTTTAAAATAATGTTTGTCGAAAACCCAGTGCTCTGAGTAGAGTTAGATCGACCGGGGAATATCCATTTTGGAATAAATCCGACGTATGTTTTATGCGCTAGTGATGTTCACAGAGGGACGGACAAGCGGACGTGCATTTTGCCGTCAATCGAATTTTCGGTATCAAGGACCCATAAAACATTGTTTCTGAATACACTACGTGTTAGTGGAATTTGTTTTCTAATTTTAGCAAATGGATTTTTCCACTTTTCATTGTCAGGGACTGGTAATAAAAGTTTTTCTGCGGAAAATGTGCCGTTTTTTCACACAGCATTAAGCTGGCTTTACACTTGCAATAAAATTGCCATATTATTTCGCAAGAAAAGTTGTCAATGTAAACATTGCGGCAATTAATATTTCTGATGTTGGCAATATTTCTTGCTAGATATTCCGGTCGTAATGTAAATGTAAAAAATGTGTTTCCACCCTCGGAAAGATATTGCCGGCTGTTGCTGGGTCGAGAATTGGAATGAAGTATGGGCAAGATATTGCTGGAAGAACCCAATGTTGACCACTGACACATGCGCAGGAAGTATGTACGGTGGTACATAGACGTAATATTTCCATTTTAATATGCATGTTTTCGTAAAATGGGTGTATGAAAAAGAAGTAATAAATATTCCCTCTATGGTTACGACAATAAAAGAAGTAATAAATATTCCCTCTATGGTTGATTATGAAATGTTCAAATTTTGGTTCAGCTGTAGACGCCCCCTAATTATTAATTTGTTACGTTAAAAATTATTAAGATATTAATCTAATCTAAATCAATTTTAAGATTACTATATAATACATAAGTAGTAGAAAAAATATTTTAAAATATTTTACCGAATAGTAGTTGCACTTTTTATTAAAAGAAAATTGCTTTGCTCCCACGAGAATCAAAATCCACGAAATCATTTTGTTTTTTGAATAATATTGAGACATTTCTACCTAATTCGCACAACCCCCCTTTTCCTTTCTTCTTAAATTTGTGTCACGTTTTCACAAATCGTCGGCGTTACTTTATCTCCTCTTTTAGCACAATAAGTGCGACCGCAACTCGCATTTTCTGCCTTCCACTAGCTATGTCGGGAAGTGAGGTATAACCTCACTCCATGCGCCATTTTCCTCGTGCCGATAAAAGGTACTAGTATTAAGTATAGTAGGTAGTAGTACTTATTATTCAAAGGTAAACATATTACTTTTAATTTTTTTATTTCGGAAATTATTTTCGGGGGGTACGGAAGAACGCAGACGATATTACAATACTTTTTAGTGAACATAATTTTGAGACTATTATATGGAAATGTAATGGTGAAATGGAAATGCTGGTGAAATGCTGAAATATGCATAGATAAGTGACTTTTCGTTCAGTGAAAATATGCATGTTCTATACCTCGCAATACGGACAAAAAATATGTATTATCAAATAGGTTTCAAATAAATTCTAAAAGGCTAATTTGTAAACTCATAACACATGCTTAATTAAATAAAGTCGCTTTATCTTATCGCAGTCACCATTTTGCAGTTCAACAACGAATTTCTCAAACATCTATTAAAGCAATTTGGCGCTAATTTCCATTAAGGTTTGCGGATGAAAATACATTAATACATTGAGAATACAAATTGTAGAATAGAGTAAAAATATAATATAATATAATTAAATTAATTATTTTCATAACCTTTTGATGCATTTTTGTTCTCGAAGATTCTTCTCGTGCCTGCAGTTGGTGGGACACCTGTATAAATTTCATTAATTTAAAGCAGAAATTTTGCGTTACTATTCGTTATTTCAAACAAAGGTACAAATTAAACATTAAAGACAAATATCCCACTCTTCCATATTGTGGTTCCCAAATGTATTTGCAAATTTTTTTTCTACCATTTCTATCTTTAAACTATAGGTAGGGAGAGTAGTAAATGTTACAGAGAACATATTGCCATATTGCTCTGTTGTGTGTGTTTTTTGTTGTTCTTTTGTTCAAATATTGCAAAAAAGATATTTTTTTTTGCTTTCACGTCGTTAATATTTACATTAGCGACGATTTGTATACATAATGTATTTATGTATTATATTTGTATACATAATGTATACACATTCTGTAAATAATGTCAGAGAAAGTTTCACGAAAGCTTAACAGTTTTCTGTTACAATGAGCTCAAATTTTCGCATTTTCCGAAACGTTCAAACACCCCAAATGTTATTTTTTTATTTCATTTTTGAAATATCTCTCACGTCTTTAATATGCACATTTCCAGCGATTTGTAAATACTATTGCATTTGTGACTAAAAGTGCTTGAAATGACTTCTAATAAAGTTTTTCGAAAACTCCAGTTTTCTGTAAAAGGTTGTTCAAATTTCGAATTTATAGTAGCCTTTAAACGTCATTTTCTTAAATACTGCTCCTCATTTTTCAAATAAAATTGCCATTTATGACGAGGTTTTACTGTTCTTTAATATTCTTAAAATAATATTTCCACTCTACAATTAGGAAATCGTAAAATTAAGAAAATGTCAAAAACGTGCTTTGGGTGGCGATAGATGGCTGCTGGCAAGAGTATATGGCAATTCCGAATAGCTAACCGAGGCCAAGGGAATAGAAAACTAATACGGGAAACTGTGCCATTCTGAAGCACCACTAATTCTCATGTTAGTAAGGGCGAGAAAGTAAAAATGAAGTATTTTCTAGTATCAATTTGAAGATCGGCAATATTAATGAAATCTTTATTTTTTTTACTTTGTTCCAACATTGGAGGGAGGGTCATTTCCCTCCCCCCCACCCTCTGAATCACACCTCTGCCAAAAGGCCCCTTTAAGCGAGCCTTCGGGGCACCAAGCAGACCGCATTAAATGAATACCTGCGTCTCGTTAACATACGTACTGCGCATGCGTTGAAGTTCCGAAAGGCCAGAGCCTTCGATCTCTCTCAAGTTCGCATTTGAGCACGAAGTACAAAGTGACAAACTTAAAATAAATTACGATTTAATTGTTCTTTCGAAAATCAATAAATACATTATAAAATGATATAATTTTTCTAAATAAAAAGCAGTTTTTGTGTTCCGCTTGCAGCCTAATAGGCCACTGTTTGCTTGTTTGGATTATTTTGGAATGTTCAAATTGAGTTGTCATGATTGATGTCATTATCAGAATTTTCTGCCTATCTGTTGTACCATAAATAAACACCTACAGAAAAATTAGATACTAATGGATATGTTGATATAATAATTAATTAATAATTATTTGAGCTAACAGCGTTTCTACATTAAATGTAATTTTTATTTAATCTTTTCAGGTGGAGATGAGCGCCAAGAAGTCAAAGTAAATCGGACGTTTACTGTAGATAAACTTGCTGCCTACACTAATTATACTTTTTATGTCCGTGCCTACAATGGAAAATCAGCCAGTGACCCCTCTACCCGAATAGTGTGCCAAACTGGGGAAGGAGGTAATAATTAATTTTATTAGCATGTGCTATTATTTGTACCAAGGTTGGCAAGAATGGGAGCAAAGAGAATCGTTAAATACCCTACGGGCATTTTTGGGTTTATTAAAGAATATTACTTTTTAGATATAGGTATCTTATTTTTTTCCATTCAAAAAATCACATTGAAGTACATCTAGGAAGTAAAAAAAAAAATGGGTTCCAAAGACTTATAGTCAACAATTTATTAAATTACAAGAACAATTTTTCTACATTTTAACATTTATTTGAAAAATCAATGGTGTGGCAATGTTTCGAAGGCTGATATCCCTTCATCATCAGGCTGTTTACACTTCATAAACTACAAAGAACAGGGAAATATGAAAATGTTACTATAAACACGAGACACATTACATAGAAATAATCGTCATTGACATTCCAATCAATCGCATAAACTACTCATATTTGAAAAGATTTGTGCATGACATGTTATAGAGAACTGATTTTTTACAACAGATTTCATGTAAGAAAATCATCAAACTAAAAACATCAACTTATCATCAATATAGTATTTTTGCAACATTCATTTTTTGTTTTCAAAATTTTGAAAATACTGCGCTGAAGATGAGACCAGCAAAATTTTATTTGTGGTTTACTAGTTCATTGCTGTGTGTTTACGAAATCAAAACAGGTAACGGTATTGTTAATACCCTTCCAGGCCTTTTTGATTCTTTTTGCCAGAGGGCCTTTTGAATACCTAATAGCCCTTTCTAATACCAACACAACACATAGTACAACATTTTTATGAGTTCGATTTATTAAAGTTAATAATTAATAACTTAAAGAATACCACGTGGATAATGAGAATATTGTGTACAAGATCGCGTGTCTTGACTGTGATGATCACTGTATAGGACAAAGAAGAAGAAAGTTAGGTTCTGGTGTGAAAGAACACTTTAGGAATGTTAGAGAGCCGTCTAATGGGCAAAATTCGGTCACAATTAATACTGGACATAAAATGGAATTTGAACATGTTAAAATTGTAGACATTGAAACCAGAAGTTCTCATCTCTGTGATGTAAATTATATATTTTATTATTATTATTTATATTATGACGTAATATTATTTGTATGGCATTTGCGTCTGCATGAAAGGTTTTCATATGATAGCTAAGGTAAGCTACCTGATCTTGGGTCTTCTTGCTATGCCATATTTTACAATGTAATATGTATCCACGTAAAAATTATTTTATTATTATATTTTAATTATCATGTGTTATTTTTATGTTGATATTGAATATAAAAATTAACAAAATGAGAGACAAGTTTAAAAAATTCCATTTTGTGAAGAAAAAAATAATTGAGCAATATGGCGTTTGTCATTTTATAGAGTACATTTAGCACTATCCCTACCAAAAGTTTAAAGAAAAAATTAGTGCCGTTTTTGAGAAAAACCTTTTGTAATTTTTTTTAATTGCCCATTCTGCATGCAATATTGCTTGAAAATTACTAAAACTTTCAAAACAATGTACATGACTTTAATGAAAGAACTCTCTATGGAGAATAGATTTTATTTGGAGGAAAAATCTCTATCTTTAATTTTGTATTTATAGGAATACTGAAAAAAGTTCATACTTTTAAAATTTTTCAAAATTTAGAGTTAAACGTGAAAATCGGACTTATGCAGCTTTTAAGTGAATGTTACTCTATCCTTACAAGAAATTAAATGAAAAATTTGGAGCCGTTTTTGAGAAAATTTTGAAAATGTTTGGAGGGCTTAATGGAAAGTACTCCCAAATTTTGAAGAATGTTTTTCAAAATATCAAAGTCTTGACTCAAGCCATATGGTGAGAGGTTTCTTCAATTTGGAAAAAATCCAGTTTACATAACGTGCAAGACCAAATAAATTGTACTATAGTGGTGTTCACAGGTGGACCGTCGTTTTGCCGACAATTGGTTTTTCGGTATCAAGTATCCACGAAACCGGGATTCTGACTACACCACGTGTTAGAGTATTTTTTCTTAATTCAGCAACTGGATTTATCCTCTTTTTCGTTATTAGGGTCCGGCAATGATTTTTTCTGCCGAAAATCCACCCTTTTTTGGCGCAACATTACATATCGTTCCCTACACTATGTATATTACTCTGTATATCCATATGTATATGGGAAGGAAAAAGTGGATAAATCCAGAGTCTCAATTTAGAAAAAAATCCTCTTAACATGTGATGTAGCCAGAATTCGTTTTGTTGGTCCTTGATACCGAAAAATCAAGTGACGGCTAAACATCCTTTCATCTGTCATCTGTGTTCATAAGTCTGTGAACAACACTAGCGCCTAGACCATCCATAGGATTTTTTTCGAAATTGAAACTCCGGTCGATGTGATTCGAGTTGAAGCTTTGATATATTGAAAAGTATTCTTTAATATTTTTCATGGAAAAATAAAGTAAAGTACATTTATAAAGATGACATCGGTCTGATTTTCACTTAACTTTGAATTTTCGAAAATATCAAAAGATTGAATTTCTTTCAGTGACTTCCTACTTTTACAATATTGATGATAGAGATTTTTTCTTTAAGTAAAAGTTTTGCTCCATAGTTGGTTCATTCATTATGGTCATGCATATTTTTTTCAAAATGTTAGTAGTTTTCACAAAATGTTGTGGACAATATGTGAAATATTAAAAAATAACAAAAAGAGGATTTTGCGAAAATGGCTCCAAATGTTTTTTCTAAACTTTTGGTAGGGATTATGCCTAATGTACTCAATATGACGACATGAATGCCCAATTGCTCTATTCTTCTGTCGTTGTTTTTTCAAAAACTACAAAAATTATTTTTTACACTTATTTTGTAATACACTGCTGAACAGTTGGAATGATGCGAAATGTTATTTTGAAATTCTTGAAATAACTTTCATTGTTGGTGGGAGACGTGGAAAGGGAAGGGTTAGTTTAAAAAAGCTTTGTTTACGTTTTATTAATACGGCAATGTCTCACCATTCAATAAAATAATGCATTCAACTATATTAAAGTCAGCAAGAATTTATAAACATATAATAAAAAAAATTATAGGCTATGTGCATAAGATGGGCATTATGAAATGGCATGGTACTCACGTAACATATGCATTCATGAGGCCATTGGATGGCTTTCAGTTCTGGATGTTTAATTTATTTGTGAAATTATCCTAGTTTGTTGATGTAATATGCTGCAAATATTGCAGCTGCAGTTGAGGTTTTTCTACATTTGTTTCTTTTGTTCAAGTAAAAAAGGACTACTATACCTGACTATCGAACTAATTGCAGATTCACACTGCTGGCAGTTTATTGGAATTTGGAAATTTTGAAGTGATAGCTGAAGTGAGGATAGAAATTGCAATATTATAATAACATGATACTGCTCATGATAATGCAAGGAAGTATATGTTGATCTAGCCCCTCTAGTTCTCAACTGTTGTCAATATTGTTATGCATTTAAAATTTTTTCAAAAATAATTGAAATACTATAAAAATTAAAAATTAATTAATATTTTAAAATGTGTTTGCCTTTTATTAAAGTTCTACATGATTTACACGACACTAGTAAAATAAGGACATGAGTAAAAATTGTTTTTATTTATTCATAGTTGTAAAGTATCACGTATTTTTAACAAGCTCTGTATTATGGATTCATGTAAAGAGAAAAAGCTAACAAATAATTACCAGCAATGGGATGTGAACTTGAGTGCATAGTCTGGGTGATCAATCCATTTCATCTCAAGCGCAGTTGGGCATACCAATCAAATCTGGCTGTACTGGAATAGAAATTTGAACTTGAAAAGTTGAATTTGAAGTTGGGAGGGAGGAAAGAAAGAAAGAGGGGGTGGGGACTACATTTGACCCTAGTATATACCACCATACCGTGATATATACCAACATCCATCTTTTATATATAGGTAAAGCAATATGTGAATGATTTACTATGCAGCTCCCACTAAATTAGTAGACATAATACAATACATTGTATTATGAATGCAAAAAAATGTATATATCTTTAGAATGTCTTAAATTGCTTGATTTGCTTGCAGATCAAGAATGGAAGATCTTTACATATGATATATGATTATAATTGGTTCTAAGAATAACAACCCAATAACAACCAACATTACAAAGAACGAAGAATATGTATTGAGCAATATATAACAATATATAACTCTGAAACAGTGTGACCCATCTCCATGAAAATTAGCACATTCACATGTTTTTCACCCAGAAGGTTTATGTGCAAATAATTTTGTTGTAACTCCACTAAATGCCAATGGAGAACAAAAAAGCATTTGACCATTGTATAATCCCAACCATTGAAGCATAAAGAATTAAAATCGGTTCACAGGATTGGTCAGTGTGGTTTGAGTTAGTTACGCCAATGTTTCGAAATATATAATTTCTTCCTCAGGGCTGCAGTGTAAACAATGATCAGTATATATAGGGAGTACCTTAAAGGTGTGTACTTCTTTCATACTTGTGGTGTTTTATTTATCCTAGTTTTTAATTTTAAATTTTTTTGTTTTATTTCAAAACTGTGTAACTAATTGTTTCTCTAGCCACATTGACCAATGCTATGAACCGATTTTAATTCTTTAAAAAAGCACTTCATTTTAATTCAATTTCCATTCAAACTGCACTCTAGCCGGGCTTAATTGTTAAGAGTTTTGGAGAATGGAAGGGGGAGGTACAGGTACAGATAGACCCAGAGACAGTCGGGGGGGGAGATGAAGGGCAGAACAATATCTGCCGGGTTCTGCTATTTGAAGTATAATTCATTCAATTTTAGTCCTGCTTTTGTTTGTAGTTCCACAAGCCGCATTTGCACATTTCTGAGTAAAAATTACAATGCAAAACATGTTGCGGTATTTTAATTTACTTTTGCAATTGATGGATTTTGTGCAATGGAATCTGTTCACTGTATACACATATTTAAACATCTGAAAATTTGTGTATGTGTGTGTGTTTTTAAGGGGCATTGCATTTAAAATCTCTCAAACTTCAAACTTAACAAATTCACTATATTTGCTTTGTTAACTATAATCTTACACTTGATTTATAGATCTATTGCAACAGTGTAATAAACAAATGATAGCAGATATTGATCTGTCTATTAATTTTATGACATAAAAATATTGTTTTGGTTAATAAGATCTTTTGTTAACACATCTAGGTCCCACTATTATTCATTTAAAGAAAGAATTGCAAGATTTGTTTGAGTTATCTCAAATCTCTTTCTAAATGAAAACTCATTGTGTTTTAAATATATAATTAAGCTTCATGTTTGCCAGTTTAGTATGTGGTACAAAGTATTTGACCACTTTCACATATTGCCATATTTCAGGACCTTTCAGTAAATTTGAAATGTGTTGGTGTTTTAGTACCTCAAGCTGCACCTACTTTTGAAGTTGAAATTACAAGCTCATCTTCTGCACGAGTATCCTGGATAGCTCTTCCCAGTGAGAAAGCTCGAGGTCCTATTTCTGAATATAAAATACAGTGGCGGCGACTTGGTCATCCTTCTTCTAATTTGGAAGAAGTAGGAGGAGATGTAATGGAATACACCATTACAGGTACTTTTTCTTTTCACTTTGCTTTATTTATTCATTAGATTATTAATACCTTTTAAATTCAATAAGGAATAGGTATTGTTCTGTTCAAAAAAGTTTCTTTTATTCACAAGCAGTTTAGTGAATTAAAAATATAATAATAGTCTCTAATTATTATACTTGTAGAGTGAAAGCTACTTACTAAATATAATCATGCAGCCTATGTGGTTGTTTTAAATAAAGTGAGGTGTAAATTTGTTGAGCAAGTGGGCTCTCAGCAAAAGGTAGCAAGGAACAAAAGAATGATGAATGTGGTACAAGTTTCAATGTAGCATCAGTTTGGTGAAAAGGTGTAGGAGCCCAGCAATTTTTTTAATAAATTCTTGCAGGAATCAATGTAAAAAAAAATAATAATATATGCTCTTTGGCTAGTGACATAATCCTGGATTAAGAAAAATGAAACTCAAAAAGCCTGAAAGTTTGATTATTAACCGTGGAAACAACTTTTTCGCCCCTTGAATAATATGTGAAATGTATTTATTATTTTTAAATACTTTTATTTTTATAGCAATCAATGACCCCTACTAAGATTTTCATCATAATGTATAAAGATGGGTGTGTGGTGGGTATGAATGTGTGTTTTCTGTTCCACAAAAAATTTTCTAAGTTTAAGAACATTTGCTTTTAATTTTTTGCTAACACTTTTGAGAGATCCAGATGAAACTGAGGATGCACGAACCCAAAATATTTTTAGAAATGTATCAACCTGCAATGGATGTTATTTACTTTGTTGTGGAGTGCACAGGAAGGCCTGGAAGGGTGGGTTGCGCATGCAGGACAAGATGGGTGTGACTGATTAAAAGACAATTGTGATTAATAAATACTCAGGCAACAATTTAATCATCTAGTAATTTAGCATATCCTTCCTTACATTAGCTGGTAATTTAGGTAACAACATTCCTTAACTTTGCCTTTTCTTGAAGGTCTTCAACCTGGACAGACGTATGAAGTTCGTGTTTTGGCAGCTACAAAGAAAGGATGGCCAGATCTGACGGATGATCAACTTTTATGGAAGACCATAAACATGCCTACTTTTGGTCCTCAGAATGTTCCTGAAGCACCTATTGTTAATCTAACTGCCATTAACTCCACTTGTATTGAGGTGAGTTTTAGGACAATTCCTGTGGCATATTTAAGTCTTGTACTGGAACATGAAATAATTGATGCTAAGACTGAATGAGTTCATATTTACCAATAAAATATGAACTCACCCAGTCTTAGCACAATATGCATTTATTACATACATATGTAGTATACATTTAGGATAATATCAATTAAAATGAGTAAATTTTATTTCACCAAAAAATATTGCCTTAGGTGACATGGTGTTTGCCTGCTGATAATGAATATCCTGCAACAGAGTACAAACTCTTTTACCGAAAACAGACAAGTCAACAAATTGGACCAGTTTTATTGCCAGCAAATGTTACACGATATGTTCTTGAAGGCTTGGGTAAGTTATTTGCCAAACTGCATAAGAAATATGAAGAGATGCTCACTTTCAAAAATTATGTTCTTACTAAAATATGCAACATGGGTATGTTGACACATTAATATGCCAGATGGAATCAAATAGTATTTCAGTTGCTATTGTTGAGCTCTTGGGATGAACCTAGAATGTTGCCTAGAGTGAGAATTGCATAACTGGCAATTCATTGACTATTGTTGGTCCATGAGGAACATCATTCAAAATAAAACTTTTCATGACAATTTTGAATATAAATGTTCCAGTATTATCCAGTTTTTCTGGACTCAGCTGCATCCAAGTTTTAAATGCTTTGATCATTCCCTCATTTTGTCTTAAGGTACAGACATGCAAAAAAATGCTTGCTGTTTGTGGTCATGGTTGATTTATCAATGACACCTCACTTTAAAATAAACTTATAGAATCGAATGGTCTACATCAAAGTTAAGCACAGACACACACCCCATATTGAGTATTACCATTCGTCTAGTAAGGTAGGTATCGTGATTACTCACATCTTCATTGGTTGATGAAAGGAGAAAGGCTGCTGCATCCTCAACTCACAGTGATCAGTGACTGCAAATGAAAATTTGATTTTAACTGCAAACAGTGAGGTTCCTTTGGCATGATAATATTTTTAAATATCAACATCAAAACATGCTTGGTCTTTCATATCTATTTCTCAGTCTAAAACATCATAAACAATAATAGAGATTATACATTGGAAATAATTATTGAGAACACCCACCTGGCTAACATAAAAGCTAAACGAAATGTACTGAAGCAACAAATGTGAAATTTGAAGTAAAGGTTCCTTATTACACTGATTGTATTTTTCAAGAAAGGAATTTTCATCGCCTTAAAAGTGTGTACCGAACTGAGGAGATGTCCCCTTTGATGGAGCCCCTTCCTCTCAAAATTTTTGGATTGAGCATGTCACCCAAGTATCCTCTTGTAAGGTTGTAAATTTAATTTATTTATTTATGTGTTGTCAGATATTCCCATAAATCAAGTGGTAACTGGATGCCATCATCAGTATCTATCGAATGATAAACCTTATCATCAGCAAAGAGAAGGATATTACAGTGTTTTAAAACTGTAGGGAGATAGTTGATGAAAAAGTTGGAAAGTAAAAGGCTTAGATGAGATCCCTGAGGGAGTCCAGATCGTACACAGTAAGAGTTGGAATGGTTACCATTCAGAGAAACATACTGCCATCTTTTATGCAAATAAGAATTGATCCATGAAAGGAGCGGATCACCCAAATCCATCTTAGTTTATGGATTAAGGTTCTATGATCGACCCGGTCATACACCGTAGCAAAATTCTTATAGAGAGAGTTGAGAGCTATCAGTGAGCAAATCAACATTGAACTTTTTGAATATAACCAAGTTTGACCACAGGCTGAAATGCCCTCCCTTAATCCATGCTGGGAGTCTGAGAGTACAAGCTCAAAAGATGTAAGATGAATGCACACAAGTTTTTTTGAACAGCTTAGGGATGGCACTTAAGATGGAAATAGGGCAGTAGTTTGTCACATCAGATTTATCACCTTTTTTTAATGAACAGGAATAATCTTGGTCGTCTTCCAAAAATTAGGAAACGACGTCTGAAGGATTGATTAAATAGTAAGAAATATGGGCTAGCTATGGCATATCTGCAATGTGATAAAAACAGATTAGATATGAGATTGGGACCTGGACTGTTTCTTGGATTTAAAGAATCAAGCTTCTCAAAGATATCACACACCCATAGTTGAAGATTGCCGATGAAGGGTCCTCGACAACCAAAAATGGAGAAAATGTTGGAAGGGTGTTGATTACTGACGTATTGTGCAAAAATAGGTACGGTGTTGCTCAGTTCTACACAGTGAATATCCCGATAGTGCATATTATGAGGGATATGGTTGTGATATGTAGGATAACGTAAATGATTCCAGAAAATATTGATGTTAAAAGATTTATATTCTTCAACTGAAGAAATGTAATTATCATACGAGATATGCTTTTCTATATAATATCGGATCTACTTTTTCTTTGGCTCTGATGGCAGAAAACAAATTGCGTCTGTTGATTTTAATGATTTATAGTCTTTGTGTAACCTTTCTTTTCCCAGATGTGATTCATTAGTTCCATGGAATACCAGGGTGGGTAAGAGTTACTAAAAATCAATCTCACTGGAACACAGCAGTCTATTAGTGAAAAGAGTTAATATAATAATCAATATAATTTCATAGTCAGTGATAAAACTCTGCAAATCTGCAATTTTCATTTGCTCTGACATTCTGGCTATAGGCTGAGTTTGTTAATGGAAGGTACTGTAGAACATTCCGGACTTAATTTTTTGGTTACTGAATGATCTTTGGATGCCATTTCTGTAAACTATTCTCAAATTCTTCTTACCATTCTCAATACACTTTTCCAATTCAGCTCTCAATGTATTAAGGTGTTGTTGTTTTTTTTTTGGTGCAATATAATTTCTGGCAGAATACCAAAAGGTTTAAGCTTGCTTGTAATATGGAGAATAAGTTTAGTGTCAACATCACTCGGAAAAGGTCACGTTCAAAGGAGGGGGATGACCGTCTTGAATTAGTTTAATACATTTCACTTTTCCGTAATATTCAGATGTGCAGTTTCAAAACTAGGAGGTAGAGATTTTCCAGTGTGCTTCATTGAACTGTGTTCCTACCAAAGTTCTCTCCTCTAAGGTCCTGGCACTTGTTTGTGATGCCACGTCTAGAAGGGAAGTGTCGAGCTACTCACAACAATCTGGACTCAGTAAGCGCCTTCATGCTCCGATCAGTCCTTGACCTAATCATGATAATTGTTATTTAGCAATTGCCAATATTAATGACTTTGATATTAAAAGAAAATAATGATTAGTTATATTTAAATTGTGATAATACATGCAACCAGGAAGATGAACATGACGCATTGTAACTTACATAATCGTGATTCACCTAGTAATTTTTTTATAATATCACACATGTTATTTTATGATAAAAGATAATATACATTTAACATATTGGGTATTTTTCTTTCTACTAAAAACTTAATTCATTGAAAAGTAATCTGTGGAAACATGAGGTAATTCGGAATGTAAAGCACAGTAGTTGTCGTCGTCTTCTTCTTCCTCCATCTTCTTCTTCCTCCTCCTTCTTCTTCTTCCTTCTTCTTCCTCCTCCTTCTTCCTTCTTCCTCCTCCTTCTTCTCTTTTCTTTCTTCTTCCTCCTTCTTCCCTTTTCTTCCTCCTTTCTCCTTCTTCTTGCTTCTTCTTCTTCTTCTGCTGCTTCTTCTTTCTCCCTTCTTCTTCTGCTGCTGCTGCTTCTTCTTCTTCTTCTTCTTGTCAGGGTTAGGCTTGATGCCTGTTCCAATGTCACCGTCTCTTCCTCGGTGTTCCCACAATTCTTTTGCCATATGGATTACATTCCATTGCTTGTTTTGGAATCCTTTCTGATGGAATACAAAGGACATGCTTCCTCCATTTTTCTTTATTGTGGATTGCCATTTTGGTTATTGATTGCATCCCTAGTTCACTTCTGATTGCTTCATTTCGGATTTTGTCTTCTCTGGTGCAGCCTTTAACCGATCTAAGATATTTCATTTCTGAGGCTTATTGCTGTTTAAGATTCTTGTTCCCAAGAGTCCAGGATTCCATTCCATATAGTAAAGTGAGGACTGTCATGACCTTGTAAAATTTTAATTGTGTTTCTTTTCGTGTTCTTGTTTTTAGAGTTCTTCTAATTTTGCCATTATTATTTGATATATATTAATCTTCTCCTTAATATCTTGATCTTCATCACAAGTTATGTCATATCCCAAATCATCTCCTGCTAAGATTATATGGTCATTTTTTGATTTATTAAAATGCTTCTAAAGTTGTTCATAAAATATATTTGTTTCTTCCTTTTTCCCTTCTTCAAGTGCATAAGTGCCTATAATAGTCGAATCTCCTCTATCGAATTTCACTCTATCCTATCACATTTCCTCTATCTTATTGTTTGCAGTCTTTCATTTATTAATGTATATTTCCCAACTTTATTCTTCCATTTTCTATCTATGAGTACAGCTACACCACAACAAGCTCTTTTTGTTTATGCAACTCTACTGTAAAACATGTAGTGTTCAAGTTCTTTAGTACCTAGTTAGCCATAGCTTTATTGATATTATATTCTTTGAGGATTTTATTTAGTTTGGTTTCATTTGATCTTAGTCCTTGAACATTCCATGTGGCCACATTTAGTATAACCGTGAATCCTTTTTTCATGACATCCTTGCCTGATTGTCGTACTCGTTCAGTCTTATTCCGAGGCTCGGTGTGAGACTTCTGAGAAAGATTTTTGTTACATTTACTGGTTTCCAGCCTATATCATAAACTCCAATCTGGAGGACCAGGTGATTTGTGATCAAGGATTTCTTCCTCTATCCTTTGGTAGTCCAGCCACTATCTCCAAGGCAACGGATGTTTTATTTCAGGGTTTTCTGCCCAAGAAAGACTGGCTGCGCCTTATCCTTTGTATGAAGTAAACTCTTTGTTATTTCGTTTAAAAGTTTTAATATAACTGATAAAAAAAAGAGGTAATACAAAAATTTTAAACCAATGGGAGTTGAGAAAACTGTCAATTTGTAATTTTCTATAAAAATCTATGAAAAATGAACATGTGAATTCTCTCTTGTTTGATCTGAAGTTAATGGTGCTCATTGAGTAAATAAGTCAATATGAAATGAACCATGTCAGTGAGACCAAATATCAATCAGTCACTTTTTTATCACTCCCTAGTAACGCTTTCTAAGCAATTCACAAAATTATCACAGGAAGAAAATGTAATCCTTTTCACATGCACCCACACATATATGAACTTCTGCTTTCAGCAGTAGCCCATTGCACACTTTCGTCTTTTAAACTTTTCTTTTAACTTCAGGCTATTATTGGTACTATTGAAGGGAAAGCTTCATCACTCAAATGTACTCTGTTAGTATCGCAGACAATTTTTTGTCAGTTTTTTCATTGTTACATGACCGTATCTGGCAGTGAAGTGCAGCTCACACACCTGTAATAAAGCAAGTAATATGGTAAAGTTTTCTACATATTAATTCTTGAATCAGGATTAGCACTTTTAGTTTCTTAATATTATTTATTAATTCTTTTGTGCTTGCACAATTTCTCTTCTGCTTGCACAAGTCTCATGTTCTAAACAATAAAGTTATTGTACTCTTTCAATATCTCTCTTCAAGCATACACGTTTATACTTATTATATAGTGCGCCAGGAAAGTCTCTCCATACCTATCCAAGGCAGAGCCTGGTGCCACCTCCATTCCGCCCTCAGGTTGCTTCCGTGGGCAGCGCTAGTGTCGCACGCTTGTCGTACCTCGCCTCTTCCTTCCCTGCTGCTTCTGCATCTGCTGCCTTTTCAGAAGCTCTCAGCACTGCCTTGTTCTTGTAACACCAACATAATTTCTGTTGCTAGTATTCTTACCAGCATGGCAACACTAAATAGGCTTTCCTGGTTCATTATATTAGCCTTCGACAACTGCTATGTATGACAATAGTTTTCAGAATTCAAAAGCTATGAGAGTTGAAACATTTTAATTCTTTACTCTAGTGCTATGTGCCCAACAGAATATTTAATTCCCTTTTAGAGTTAAACATAAAACATGCAAACAAACTATACATATTAAGAATAAGAAATTTATGAAATGTACATTTATTGTCTGCTATATTTGCAGTACTTTTTAAAATTCCCAAGCATTCACATTCACATTTAAACATTAGATTGATACTACCTATAACTAACTGTATACTAAACTTAAAAGTAATAAGTAAGTTTGAAGAATGGTGTTTTATAAAACTCACAACTTTATCATAAATATAACAGTTCATGAAATATTTAATAGAAAAATACTAAATGATCATACATACCTTTGTAATATTTTGCAAAGATTTTTAGTCATGGAGTATGGTCATGCTGAGCCAGTTTCTGTAGTGTTCTACATGTGTAACATTCTACATGTTAAAAACATGTAGTTGTTGTTTTTAACTTCATTTGTTACCAAAATCATTTGTCCCTTTGGGTATGCATAGCCAAAAAACCATTGAAACAGTACTAAGAAAGTTACAGATGTTGAAAACCAACACTCCCTAGAGGAATGAGAATTGTTGTTTCTATATCTACTGTAGTGATGCACTCTGTTCGGTACTGACCTAGCGACAAGATCTTAGTGGAGAAGGTGTTGGTTCCTACATGGCCTGAGGTTGAAAAGGGATCTGTATTCATAGCTGGGCAAGGCTTCTTTCACTTGGATAAAGACTGAACCATTCTATGAAATTGTTTGTTTAACAAGGTAGGTATCACCAGAAAAGGAAACAACATCTGTGTAATAGCTAGCAATGACCTTGAAGGTGTAGTTAATCAGTGGACAGACATTTTTGTTCACTTTAAGGAGAATAATGTCAGGTATAATCATCTTTCATGAGTCTTCAATGAATTTCACTTCATTCTTTCCCTACTTGGTTCAAATGCACTTGAAGAAAGGCCCTTCTTCCAAACAAACAATATTTGGACAGTAGAAAAATACATTTATAGGTAGAACTTCTGAAACTTATTATGATGATGTTGATAAGGAGAAATTTGCAATAAACATTTAGTGAGTTACTAATTTTTGAATAAATGTTCCTCTCTTTTATTAAGGAAAATAGCATGAAATGTACTATAAAAGTAACATTTTCTGTCCGAATACATTTTGTGATAAAAAATGCAGTTCTAATTTCATTCAATACATCCATAAATGTATTTTAATTTCATAACAGTTCTATAGTTTTAAGTATATTTCAGGTAATACCCAGGTAAGTCTGGGAATGACCTCCTTTGATAACAAAAATCTGAGCGGTCTAACTGAACATGCATTAGGTACCTCTGCCTAGAAGCATGGGGGATGGACATTTATGGAATGCAATGTTCTGATAGATAGCAGTGATCCTTATCAGCAAAGGCTATCGTAAAATAAGACCGTACACCAGTGGTGCTGCAACATGACAGACCACCAATCTCGTATTTGTGGTTATTGATATAGTTCTTGTAATTATATTGCAACTCTTGCTATTTCACCCATCTCCAACAAGTTTCTCACCGACCTATAATAACAGCACACTGTGACTATTTAAAAAAATCTAAGAACCTCTTTATAAATCTTGCATTGACACTAAATCTTGACCAACAGTTCGTGAATCAAAGCTGCAACTAGCTGTTCATTGGTGAAATCTTTATGAAAAATAAATAAAACTTGATTTTTTGTTCATTTTCAGAACCTCAGACACTGTATGAAGTGCACATTGTTGGAGTGGGAGCATCTGGAGATGGAGATGTTGGTGTACAGTCCATTCATACTCGACCTGATTCAAGTTTACAATTTCTGGAACCACCTGGGAATTTACAAGCAGAACCTACTTCTTCCACTTCAATTAACTTGACTTGGACTCCTCCTTTCTCTGTGTTGGATGTAGCATACTACAACGTCAGTTATTCCTCTGTTACATCTCGTCAAGCAAGTGAAAACATAGTGCTATATGTCCATACATCCAGTACAGGAGTTGAAATTGGTGGTCTAAGACCATTTACCCTATACGAATTCAAAGTTTGCACTCATAGTCATCATAACAGACATGGCCCATATAGTCAAAAATTAGAATGCCGAACAATGGAAGATGGTAAGTTTTGCAAGTTGCAAATGTTCTGTAATAAATTGTTTCAAAATATTATTTTGTAATTTTTAAATTTCTTCAGTTCCCAGTGTTGTCAGAGATGTACAATGTAAACCTTTGAACAGCAGTACTCTGCGAGTCACGTGGAAAGAACCGACACAAGCTAATGGTATTATTAGTGGTTATACAGTACTATATACAGAAGATGCTGCCTTGCCTATTGATAAATGGAGAGAACACAAAGTTCCTGGGAATAGATTTAGTACTGAAGTAAGTGGCTTTCTTGTTTTTATCTCATTTAGACTTACACTCTAGTTGAGGCAGCATAATTATATGTTCAGTTATTGATTATTAATTGATTTGCTGTTTCCTGTTTAAGTGTATGCAAATTACAGTTTTTTTCTTTCTTTTCTTTCCCTTCTACACATAGACTTTGTATTTTTATTTAAATATTTGTTTAGATAAATTCTAATTGTCACTAAGCCTTTCTGCAATCAACAGCCTAGAAACATTTAATTTTTGGTACACTTTGGGTCCTGACATTTCAAAACTGGGATGGGCAGTCAACTACCAAGGTAAGTACAGACCTACTAACCTGGAAATGTCAGGGAAAAAATAAAAACTGGAAATTCAGGGGAAAATCTGAAAATTTAATACAATGCCTGGAACTTTGTTTTCTCCAATAAAAAATGTTTGGTGCTTCATGAAAAATTAATAATTGGTGCTGCACCTATTTTTCAGAATAAAGTGATGGAAATAATTGAATTAATAATATTTCCATTTAAAATAAATAAGTTTTCGTATTCCATAAATTGTTTTTTTTGACAGTGTATATGTCCCAAACGTGATTTTTAATGGTTTTTAATGATTTTCATAATAATACTTACCTTACTGATGGCAAAATTATATTTTTACTGGCTCGTAAACTACTTATGCAGTACAGAGAAAGTAATATTGCGGGGGAAAACTTGTTCCTGTTGTGACCCACAGGTCACAGGTTCAATGCAGCCTCAAACGTACTTTCCTCTGCTTGATTGCAGTCTTGCCCAGCTGCTCTGTAAATTTAGGGAAGGAAGTTCGGCAGGCGAGTTTTACCATATATAATATGAAGTTACTCCCACTAATTTTTTTTTTACAAGGAAGGAATGAAAGATGGTGATGAACTCGTGGCGGGTGAATGATCGGCAGGCCCGCTTGAATACCATTTTAATACTAATTTACAAAATCGCTCCAGCGGTGATCTCTCTGGGCGGCATTGACTGACCCAAGAGCTCTTGAATTTGCAGGCACCCAGTAGACACTGAGCGATGGGGCGGCGGCGGGCAAGGGTTTTCCTCTGCACGGGTCACTGGCCGGGTGATACCTCGGATTTTGACGCGTCCTTCGGCAGCGTCCGTCGCGCGCAGACAGGAGCGATGGCGATCGCGGCGAAACGCGGTCATAACGAGCCTCACACACACGGTCAATAGCTCAATCGCGCTCCCTTGCTCATCAGTACTCGAGTCCGTGACAGACTCGTAACAGCACTTATGTCGTTCGTAATATTGAGTAGGGAATGGATTTCTATGACAATTCATATTTACTAAATAACCTAAAACCGATACTAATTTTCATTATATTTCTGTTTCACAATGTATAGAGTTGAAAAATGCCACTTTTATTTTCCATATTTTGGGGTATCATAACAATAAGAAAAGTACTTTCAGTAATTCCTTAAACATTGTTTTTTTTTAATTAGTGAGTATATACATTTTATTTCTCTCATGTCATTAATATTTACATTTCCGGCGATTCCTTCACATTATTGCAGTTATCAATATGTATCCTTTAAATGATGTTTAGTTTCTCAAAAACTCAAAAGTTTTCTGCGAAAGTAAGCCCAAATTTTCAGAAACACTCAAATGACATTTTCCACAAAAACGCTCAAAATTTTTTCTTCACGCTTTGTGTTCTGGATGGTGCTAATTGCATTGTTTAAGACTGCATAAAATCATTTTTTTTCTGTATTCTTTGGGTGTGGTTATTTTTTCCCCCAAAAAAATTACATAATTGTAATTTTTTGAAATATCTCTCAGGCCTTTAATATGCCCATTTCCAGCAATTTGTATACATTATTGCATTTGTGAGTGGAAGTGCTTCAAACTTCTCATTTACAGTAACGATTAAGTGACATTTAAAAACAGACCCAAATGTCTCAATTTATAAATCTTGTAATATTCTTAAAGTAATATTTCAGTTTAACAATAAAGAAACTAAAAAATTGAGAAATGGAAAGGCGAAGGAAGAAGTAGAAGTAGCAAAATAAGAAAAAGGGGCAGAAGAAGAAGAAGGAACAATAATAATAATAATATTTATTGAGTCACTTATACAATTACAATCATGTATGGCGAGTCAATATGATGCCTTGGGTGGAGAGAGCGAAGTTATATTACTGTTCAGGAGCAAACAAGGGGCCATCTCAGCATTTGCTCAAAGGACCAGGGAAATCTCATCGAGATGGGGTCACTGGCCTAGAAATACAATACTTGTTACAGTTAGATTAAGATATTATACAGTAGGTAAATTATCTGCTAATAATTAACATTTCAATATGATATTTTAATGCTACTACTTACAATAATTATATTAATAATAATTACATTAATAATACATATCAGTTATGTTTGCAACTACATCAAATTTAACGATAGTAGTACATTCTATATTTATAACTTGAAACGGTGAGGAGGCAAGTTTTGATCAGTTTTTTTCTTCTTCTATTCTCCTTCTATTTCACAGGATGTGATATGCAGTTCTTTCTTCTTTGCT